CAGAAAAACCTATTCCGTAATGTTTTGTATTGCATGACAATGCATCTTTTCATTATTCAATAACCAGTTGGAGAACTGCTTGTGTTCCGAAAAATAAGTATGTGTACTCAATCGTCCTGCATGTTCTTCAAATTTGTCTTCTTGTGATTTTTTTTTTTTCCCCAAAAACTAAAGTTGCCTCTCAAAGGAAAGTTTTTTGACATTGAAGAGACAAAAGGAGTATGACATCTACTTTTAGAGGCATGTCAAAAACAGATCTCTACAAGCCTTCTCTTCCATTACATGTTGTCCAGTCAGACAAAAAGTTGCATCAGCGTAAATTTTATAATCTATTTTTATTCCACTCTGATTACTATATTAACATACAGTGAATATATACTAAACCTTTTACTTCAACTTCAGTAATTCGGAAATTTTGACGGAATTGTTGTCGGAACTAGGACTTAGAAGATAAGTCAAATTGAATATTTCGGATAATCCAATAAATTCAAGGTCGATGTTTCAATATTTTATTTTCGGAGGGTGGGGAAATTTTTTCAGTTTTGGTCCATTATCCTAAGTATATTTGCTTCGATTCTTTATTTTCCCATAAAAGCGAAAAATTTACGCTTGGTATACATATAACGCATAGCTTCAAATTAAAATTTAATAATATACAGAGTGGTTATAATTAAAGTTCCACACTTGAAACGGTCATAAAAGGAAAACTACTGGATCAAATGTTATCAAACTTGGTAATCGTGTAAAGGAGGTCATGAGAATTTATTTTCCACGAAAAAAAAAAAAAAGGAAGGAAGTTGGAAACCTCACCACCAGGGGGAAAAATGGCGCTGTATGCAATATTGTTAAACGAAATATGGGTCGGAATCTAACTTAACCTTTTGTTACACGGGTTTAATATGTTGTATACCCTTAAAAAACTTTGAAGTAGGCAAATTACCATTTAAAAGCGTTGAAATTCGATAAAGTCGAGTGCGCCATCCGTGTGTAAGTGAAAATTTCGAAAATTCGTCCAAAACCCAAAACACGAATTAGCGATTAGAAAAATGTGAGATCGCAAATCACTCGCACAAGTGCGTACAATCTGGAAATCGTTTTCTTACAGATCGCTAATTTGTAATTTTTGAAGCCTGAATTCGGCACTACTAAAACATGAAGATACTGATTCAAAACGCTTTTAATCAATTTGGGCCAAAGAAATTCCTCATGTTATCTATCAGTTCCATTGCATTCTCCTACTGCATTTCAATTGCATAGCTGTCATTCCACACCGTTTAGTGTTGAATGACAGCTAGTTTTATAACTGAACCATTTTTCTCTGAAGAGCAGGCGACAGCTGGACCACTGTGATTGCAATGTTATTGATTATTATTATGTTGATTGTGAGTCAATGTTAAAATGTTTTGTGATACATGAACTGCATGGAACTGCAGTAACATGGCATTTTAGATACTACGATTTTTATGGAGGGCTGGGCCCCACCTCACGTGTGTCGCACAGTTACTTGGGAAACATTTCACGAATGAACGTCTTATAGCCGACAATTCCCCTCTTCCCACCAGACCTCAATCCTCTGTGACTTTTTTGGCTATGGGTTATCTCAAAAGCACTGTTTATGGTGATAATCTAAACAATTTGGCAGAAATGAAAATGTGATAACCGACATGTCCGTAACATTTCCTCCTGATATGCTAAGAGCTTGCTGTTGAGAATGCAGTAACAGTAACAGGATTTAACTTGCTTTCGGAAAATGCTGGACGCTACATTGAACATGCTTTGTAACACGTTTTCGGAAACTATTAAACACATTTTAAACAGATGTTTTCATGTCTTATTTCATTTAACAATATTGTATACAGCGCCATTTTCCACTGGTGGTGAGTTTTTTGAACTCTTTTTTTTTTCCCGCGGAAAATAAATTCCCATAACCTCCTTTACACGATTCCCAAGTTTGATAACATTTGGTCCAGTAGTTTTCCTTTTATGACCATTTCAAATTGGAACTTTAATTATAACCACCATGTAAATTAAACTTTAAAAGTTGACAGTTTGGTTTCAAGTCCCAGCTTTAAAAATATATATATTTAAATATAATTTTTATATTAATCCTCTTAGAAAGAATGTTTTAAGAAGCTAATTTTTCTCTCGCGTTATAGATTGTATAAAAAACATGATCTTTAATATGATTTAGATTGTTTCAGCCGATATAAGAATCGGGTCACTCGGTGGTACAGAATAAACCCTGCTGGACTGTTTTATTTCTTTGTCATTTAGCAAAAATCTTTTAATTAAAATATTTATCCTTTGGACTTTGCTCTATACTTTGTTTATAGTTAAAATGTCTAGAAAATGAAAAGCTGTCTTCAGCTGAAACGCAGTTCATGCAATTGATATTTTAAAAAAATTGACAAGAATGCAAAATTTATGGAAGTCTAGCAATCGAAAAATCTTAATTTTCTTGTGTGAGCACTGAAAATAACTGTAGAAGGAAAGAAGAAAATTAGGGAGAAAAGTAAGCAAAAATTTGCAGGGAAATTTAGCTGTCAGACATACCAAGATGTTTCAAAAAGTTGGACGCTTTTGAATATACCTTCAGGATACTTCAAAGAATTTAGGTGTTCAAAGAGAAAACACTTGGACGTGTACACCACACACCAAATACCATCAATTGAGCTTGTGTTAACAGAAAAGACAAAAACGATATCATTGCAGATTAAAGTGAAGAGCGACTGGTTTTAGACTATATGGTTGTATAAATTTAAAATTACGTTATAGAACATCATATCGTATCATAAATGGAGAATCCCATGATTTTCTCAGTCGAATTATTTGAAGATTCAGGAGTTTATCCAGTGATGTATGTGGATGTCACCTAAAGACGTTTTTTTTTTCCTCCTGATGAAACAGCAGCTGAGCGGTAAATCGCTGAACACTGGTAGTTCGGTCCAAGGTTCGAATCCCGCGAACGGGCTGTCTGCATGGGTGTTTTCGTAGTTTTCCCCCATATGTAATGTGTATACGAGCCAGTTTCCCTTAGAAAGTCCTCCACGAAGGCATCCCTTCCCTTAGGCACAATTAAATAAACCAAAACCTCTTGATTAAACCAGACTTTTCTTTCATCTCATACCTTCAAAATGTTTAGCCTCTAAAGACTGATAAAGGCTCTGACCAAATACTTCGTGATGAAACTTTCTAAGAGGAAACCAGCTAGCATACACGATACACATGAGAAAATCCACGAAAACGCCCATGCAACCAGCCCCGTTTTACCGGGATTCGAAACCCCGGAGTGAACTACCAGTGTTCAGCGATTCTCTACCACTCGGGCCGTTTTATGGGCCTTTATGAAATGGAAGGCGATAACTTTATTTAAAATGATTGTCAGAAATACCAAGATTATTTCGAAAAGTTGGATGCTTTTTAATATACTTGCAGAATGCCTAAAGAAAAAGAGCAAGAATAAAGTAGAAATGCCTGAAGAAAAAGAAAAGAAAAATAAATTTTTGCGTAAAATTTAATATTTGTACTTTTTTTTTTAATTTAAAACTTTTTAATCTTATGATATTTGATTCTTGCGATTTCAAAAATAAAATATTTGACTAAAATATGAATAACATTTAAGAAACCAAATGTAGGATAAAATGTGCAAAGCAAAGCAATGGTCACAATGATTTTAAACTGTTTAAAGCAGTGTATGCAAGTCATCCTAAGTTAAAATGTCGTTATACATCTCTCTTATTTATATATTCTTTTCTGAACGGAACATTGAAAGGCGTGTTAACTGTGCTTTACTGTAATTTTCTCTTTTAATATATGCAGTTTTTCAAATGCATCATAGTCTGGGTTACAAAATATTCTTCGGAAAGAAAAAAAACACAATTCAAATAAATAAAATCAAATTCTGGAAAATTTATATTAATAAATGTATTTAAAATGCTCAGTTTGAAGGAATAAATAGAAAATTTTAAAACAATTATCTGAAGAGACAATGCAACACAAACAATTAAAATAAAAGTATAAAAATTTAAAAATTTCCTAAAAATAATAACTATGACAAAAATATATAATAAAGAAAACTATTTGAAAAAAAAAAAAATAAAATAAATAAATAAAATAAAATAAACTCTGCACCGTTATTTACGCAGTTTGAATAGGTAAATAGAAATTTTTAAAAAACAGTTATTCGAAAAAAAAAATGCAATTTTTAAACAATTAAAATGAAATTCGAAAAAGAAAAAATTACTTAAAATAATAACAGTTATAATAAAAAAATATATAAAGAATATTATTTGGAAAAAAGAATGATGGTGACTTTTTTCCTCTCACGGGAAAGGAAACAAGGTTGCCATATATTAAGAAGTTCGCCAAGTGAACTATTCTTGGCGCAAACTGAACAAAAAAGTGCCAACATAAATTTGTGAATTTCTCCGTAAAATTTCGCTCCAAATTTTACAAAATTTCATATTTAGGCGTAATTTGAGTCGTAGAATCGAATCGAAATATGTAAAAAAATTGGTATGTTATTTCAGAAAAAAGTCCGATTTTGTGTCAAAATACCTATGTTAGAATAGTGCTATATATAAATCTAATATGTATCTTAAGTCGCGCTTTCGAGACACGAAGAACGCAATTTGAATTTTGTCAATCGGCCCAGTAGAACGGGAGATATAGCAATGTCCCATTTTTTTTTTGAAGCAGTGTACATACACACGCCACAAAAAAATATCTTCAGAATTCATTTAAAATCAGTTTTATAATTTTTTTGTGGGAGAAGAGTCCTTTATTCTGTCCTTAGGTATGCACGTCACACAAAAACACAGTCAAATTGCATTCGATAGCGGTCAGAATGTATATTTTCATTGGAATATGATGACTGAAATTTTTCGTGATTACAATACTTCCTTTTTACTTTGTACAAGGAAGTAAAAATGAATATTATAATTCATGTAAACAAAAATATTACAAAGTTACAATTTACACCATAAGAAAATAAATTTTACCTGTTATCTAATACTAAGACAATTTCACCAGTTTTGATAGTAAGCTCATTATCTTCAGCTGCATCAAAATCATAAAGTGCTCGGACTTTGAAAGGCTCTACACACTTTGCAGTTTCGGTCGAATGATTTGAAATTCCAGTTTCTGAAGCGATATCATACCTTCCTGTATCCTTTAATGATATTTCTATAGCTGTTATAAAGATAAGTACACATGTAAATTATTTTACAATTACTTTGAGAATTAAGTTAAAATGCAATAAGTAGCCTGATGTAGGTAAAACAAAATTTATATTAATAATACATGTCAATTAGAGTCTTATTATATTGCTAAAAGCTGACGATCTGGCAAAAGATTTGAAGCATAAAAATAATTGCCAAATTATTTAAATTATGATCAATAAAATATAATACAGTTAAGTTGAAGAAAAACCCAAAAAATAACAGGAAAAAAAAAAAAAAAAAAAAAAAAAAAAAAAAAAAGATATTCGTAAAGTTAGAAATTTTTAATGTAAATTAAACAACTTTCCAAAAAAAAAAAAAAAAAAAAAAAAAAATCATGTTATAGTTTTCCATGAGTTTTTTTTTTTAGGCTGAATAATTCTTTGTTCATCAGGAAATTGCATGGAAGATATTCATTAGGCAAGTTCAAATTCTCAAATCCGTGGGTAAATACAATAATTAAATACAACTGAAAGTTACATCTTTGAAATTTGTATTCTCGTAGCCAATTTTGAAAAGACATTCTTTTACTTTTTCTTTAAAAAGTTAACATTGTAACGACTTCAGAAATAAACATTGGTGACTTCATATGAACAAATCTCTTTGCGAGTTTATCATAACATTTGGTGACCACTCCGTCCAGATAACAGAACAGTACTGATATTTTTGTCCTTATGAAATATAAATGCCCTTACCAAAAAGTAATATGCACAAATTCTGTGCTTCAGTTTCTTACAAAATTCAAACTGGCGGAATGCATATACCTTTAATTATATCATTTTCTTCTTCTTGGCTGCTTACAGCATTGGGATCAGTACAGAGAGGTGCTGCAACTTTTTCTTCTTTTTCCTAATCAAAAATACAATTAAAGACATTCTGATGTACCATTAGCAATTTTAAAAATTAACAAATTTTAGATGCTAATTGAGATAAATATTCACTTCTAAAACAAAAATATAATACCAGTGAGTGTCTGTATTATACATTTTACAGTAAATTTGCGCAAGACTAAACATGACTTTATACATAATACTAACATGACTTTATACATATACATGTATAAGACTAAACATGACTTTATACATAATTTTATCCTATAATGCTTATAAGAAAACGTTTAGAAAAGATATATAGAATATCAGGTATGTATGAATTACTTAGAGTTTAGAAATTATTTATCTTTTTGTTTATCTGGTGTGTGTGTATATATATATATGTACCAACCGGTATCATTATTGGTACATATGTGTACAATTAGGCTTGTAATTAGGATTTTTATTTTAGCTTTAAAATGGCTCACCCATTAATGCAAAAACAACTAGAAGCTGAAGCTGAAAAACTAGGTGAATCAGATTTAGGGATGAAAGGCTTAAATTCTCAGTCAACAGATTACAGGAAGTTCAATCACAAATTCTGAACATTTCTTAAAAACTGAAATCAGAAGCAAATATTTGACAGATTTAGAAACTAATGAAATATATTACAATAAATATATTAAGTTAAAAACAAGAGTAGAAAATAAAATGGTAAATCTTATTCCTGTAGTTGCTTCTGGAATTTTTGAAAATTGACCAAAACAGGAATTTCAAACTATCGAAATTGGAGCTATAAATGTTTAATGGGGAAACCTAAAATTAGTAAGATTTTCAGGATGATTCAGAAAAATCAATGAAGATATAAATATAGATGATGATGACAAATTTAAGATGACAAATTTCAACAAATTTCATTGCAGGCTACTGTCATTGGTTCCTCAGCAAGAGCTGGTTTGGTTTATGCGATTATGGAAAAACCTCAGAGGCTATCTGCCTAAGGAAAGGGATGTCTTCGTGGAAGATTTTCCATGGGAAACTGGCTTGTATAGATATTGCACATGGTGAGATCCATGAAAACCTTACCTGTTCGTAGGATTTAAACCTCAGACCGAACTAACAGTGTTCAGCAACTTTACCACTTAGGGGCCTCAACTTTCCTCTCAGCAAGAGAAGCTATTAAGCAGCTCAAATCCAGATTTGCATGTGACGAATTATTGCTGGAAATTTATGTTTGTGAACTATTAGGGTTGGTATTAGGTCAAGCTGCAAAGATGGAAGTATGGTTCTATCCAATTTGTATAATAGTAGAAACTCAACTCAGAGCTTTGGAGATGTTAGGGTTAAAAAATGAGATTTATGCAGCTATGCTATACCCCCTTGTCGAGTCTGCACAGCTGGAAAAAATTCTGAGGAGAGAGTGATCTCACCAGTATAAGAAACCTTGGAGAAATCACACACTGAAAACTTGAAAAATTTGAGGAACGTGGTCTGAAGTAAGTTCTTCTTTTACTTCTAAAGCTATTGGAATAGACGTGTTCATTAGAAAAACATCTAAAGTGTTCAGATTTTGAATCTTAACAAATCTGTACGTATTCTCAGCAAGAACATAGACTGCGATGGGGTAGTTTGTAATAAAATTGTGCAAACACGAGATGCCCACTTGCGTTTGCACGCAAGTCATCAGTAACTAGAGTTTGCATACTCTCAGGCAAACTATACTTAAGCATGTTAGCAATAAGCCCAATATTACGACTCTAAATAAGAAACACAATATCAAAAACACAACAACATTTGGCAGGTTGTATAATGCATAAAAACGTAAGTTCCAAAATATGGAGGGATAACTGCAACTACACTTTCAAAACTTTTACTTCTGTTGAGATAAGGCAAGATTGTAATATATTGTTGATGTAAATAGCCACTTGCCCTCCTCTGTAATGCAGACTGTCACATCTATAGGCATGATAATTTGGAATGCTAACCTTATCATCCAGGGTGGCAAAGGTTTTTATAACAAAACTGATGTTAATATTGTTTTATTGCAAAATATTCAAATATTCTTCAATTTTACTGCCAATGCATGTACAATTCCTAAATAGCTCAACTACTGAACTTGCTCATTAGTATTACTTTTCTTTGATGCATTCTTCAGCCCTTGGTGCTTTGAGCTATAAATTGTATATTTGTAAATTTACTGATGTTGTCAATCACTAAGAACATTTTTTTGCTTCTGTGATCATGTTTAGAAGTTCGTATCATTTACAGATTTAAAGGAGTGAGCAAAGGACTTACTTATGACAAAAATCTATATACGTAGGTTTTTATGTAGTCTTTTTGATTGGCTTTGAATATTTTTTGTACTCTTTAAAGGAAACAATATGTCCTTGACTGCAGTTTGCATATGCTGCAGGTTCATTTTTTTATTTTTGGCATTCTCTGGAGTTATGATTTAAACCATATATCAACTCCAGTATTCAGTTTAACCTATCTGTATCTTGATTGAGGGGGATTTCTTTAGCTGCATGTGCATTAATTCTCCTTGGCAACCTTTTATTCGTTAGTGTTTTGGTATTTTCCATTCTCCCTCAGAAAAATGTTTAGGTAAGTTATCTTGTGAAGTATCTCACTGAGCTGCTAATAATGCTCCATACACCTTTTTAAGAAGGTCAAGTTTTGCATTTTCTTTGGAAGTAATAGCATTATTTTGGTACTGTTCCATTATCGGGACCAGATTCAAATATTATCAAACGCTGACAATTTGGTGAAACATTGAAAGCATAAAAGTATGCCAAAATATTTACCAATAGGATTAAATAAATAATAATAAAAAAAATTCAAGGAAAAATATAACATAACAGATATCCGTAAAATCAGAAATTTTTAACGTGAATTAAACAACTTCCCAATCAATTATTGAACTAAGATCAATGCGGAGTCATGAAACTGTGGATATCATTTAAAATGCCTAAAAACATTTGCACTTTAAAATGCTTTTGCTGCCACATAAACTTAATAGGAATCTAACGGATTATGGTTAGTGCAGTGTTGAAGTTTCTTTTGCCATTTCACACCTTAACCTCGTTATCTTTCGGATAGCTTGCATATGACAACCAGTATCAGGATCGATAAATTTTATATTTACAGTTTACACAGAAATGTTCAAATTCTGTCTCTTAATTCATTAGTGTTGTAGCCTTTCCAGCAGTGTCAGCACATTATAGTGCCATAAATAATACTTCTTTAAATAACTTTAAGATGCATTTTGCAGAGCGGTTAGCCATAGCAACTAAAAAAACATTCTTTTGCCTCTCGGCAAATCCCACCGTACATCCACTGGAGCGAAAGGATAGGACCAATGTCCCTTTTTTTTAAAGGTACAACCGACTTTCTTCAACTTTAACAATGTTACCAGTGCCGCTTATTTTAACTGCTGGTTTAGATATTAATGCATGGCCACAGACTTCCCTTATGTAACTGTCCCAATCAGCAACAGTGCAATAATTCATATAAAGCTCATACTGACAAAATTCAAGGGAAGTTATTTCTTAACTCCATGCATAAATGAAATAAAATACCATTAAGAAAATGATTCTCGATCCTTCAAATCAATTTTCAGAACGTAATCCTGTTTCCTCCTTGGCACATCTTATCTTTACATCTCCATTTAAATGTTTCCTTCAAATTAAAATAGAGCTTTATTTTATGGCTTTTTATACACCTTCTTTCAGAGTGAATACTTACTTGTTCCTGTAGAAATTGTATGGAAGATATTTCATCATTAGGTAAGTTCCAAAATTTCATATCCATGATAAATACAATAAAAAAAACACAAATTACTGTTACATCTTGAGAATTTGTATTCTTGTTGCCAATTTTGAAAAGACATTCTTTTACATTTTAAAATTGTGAATATGTAAATTCTTTTACATATTGTAATGAATTTAAAAGTGAACATTGGCAACTTCATATGAACCAATCTCTTGGCCAGTTTAGTAAAACACTTGGCAATAACTACGGTCCCAATAATAGAACAGTACCCTTACTGTACTGTATACCCTTACAAGTCAACAACACTGTATACCCTTACAAGTCAACAACATATTTTCGTAGCAACTGTCAAGTCAACACATGCTCACTAGATCTTCATTATAACCAGTATGATTGATGACTTTATAAGATAGTCTTTCATTATTTCAGTATCCACTGCTGACACACTTTATATCACTAGTCAAAGAGACAGTATTCCATGAAATGATCAATGGCTTATGTGTTGCAATTCACCCGCTGAATACAACTGCAAAAACTTTCCAGTGGATAGCATGAGAGCTGACACTACTTCTTAAAGGCAATAAAAAAGTTTATAATTACAGTTTCTATCACAACTTGTTGATTTGATTTTATCACAAGGTTGGGATATTTATGATCATGAACTGCCAATTTTTCTGGCTTCCCAAGCCATGATTAAGTTTAAAAAAATTTCCTCATGTTTTCATTTTACTATTCCAAAATTCATTGTTGCACAGAGTATCTTAAACTTCCTAAAAATCTCACAGATGAAATGACCAACTAGATGCGTATCAGTAACCATGCTTAGTTGTTTGAAAATTCCTTAGTGATAATTGCAAATACAGTAAACTAATTATCATGTGGCTCAGAAACAGAAATAAAAAAGTTAACTTAAGTTTGTACATATGTTTAATGCACATATATTTTGCACGTCTTTAATGTAGCGATTAAGTAAAAGAAAGTTACTTACCATAGGTGGGAATTCAACTCCTTCACTCTTAAGTTTATAATACAAAGATGGAATGATGCTTTGAAAAATAAAAATTAGAAAAATTATTTCTGAATGCAAATATTCAAATTACAGTATTCTTGATGTCACAGAGAAAAAAGATTTCAAGTATATATATGAGTTACAGTCCAAACCTGAAATCTAGCCACTTCTTGAAATGCCAGACAAACTTGACCTCAGCCTAAAATATACAATAATCTACCAAAACTTTGGAAATAAGAATTCCCATTTAGTAATATAAAGAGGAATTATTCTATTCAATTTATCAAAAGGTTGTTCGAACAAATGAGTTACATAACCAAATTTTCAGATATTTGTCGTGGGAAGAATGCATTCTTTATTTTTTTTAAACAGAAATTGTTCTACTGTTAGAACAGAACTTTCATAAATGCTTTTTATAATAAAAAGTCACTTGCTATTTATGTTTAGAAATCTTAGCCATTTATAAATTATTCCAAGTACTATTCTTGGCAGATTAAAGAGCTTTTTTTATTTCATTTCATATTTATTTTGGCATATTTGTTTTAGTCTGTAAATAGTACATGGCTATTCGAAATAACAAATTTTAAATATTTTCAGTTGCTATTCTCAAATTCATGGCTAGGATAAGACATTCACTAAAACTAAACAATTAGAGAAGACATAAAGCCACAAAATTATTCAAGATGTACTTTACTTCATACATTGTATATTGCTTTTTGTCAGAAGTGACCAAATCCTTAAGCACTGCTCAGCTCAAATTTCTTCCAAAGAATAAATATGCCCATTTTTTGTTTTTAGTTGCTAACTAGCTAAAACATATTATCATTAATAGATAGTAATCCTCAGTTGTATTGGTAAATTATTTCTATACCCATTTGGCTTATAAAAATATTTATACAGATTATTTATTAGATTCACAAAGTACTGGTAAAATGTATATTTTGGCTTTGTCCAGCTCATGTTGATGAAGTGCAAGCTGACCAGATTTCAGGCTCTGGCTATAATATGTATTATATTGACAGGGACATGTTTTTCGAAAATGGTATAAGTTATACAATGTAAATTTGCCATTCACATTATCCTTCAAGGAAGATTTTATACTAAGTTTCTATAAATATCTGAAGACTTTTGAATTATTTTTGTAGTATAGTGAACAACTCTGTTAGCTTTTGGGCAGTTAAACCTCTGTTCAAACTCTGCCTAAGAATGCTCATTGAATTGAGATTGTGTCTTTCAAACAGCCAGTAGAGGTCATTCACTATAATTTTCTTTCAACAACTGAGTTATGACTTTTGCTCTATGAATGGATGAATTATTTTGTTGAAAGAGATGTGGGCTAATTCTAAATTGTTACCTCCACCTAAGCTGAATGGAATTGTTTCATATAGCTTAATAGCCCTCAGTATTCAGAATTCTGGGTGCAAAAAATAAGAGACCAAGATCAAATCACGAAAAATTGGTTTACACAGAAATTCCTTTCCTGTCAAATTTCACAATGGGAAAAACATGCTGTGGTAAGTAGTATTTTCGTAGCAACTGTCAAGTCAACACATGCTCACTAGATCTTCATTATAACCAGTATGATTCATGACTTTATAAGATAGTCTTTCATTATTTCAGTATCCACTGCTGACACACTTTATATCACTCTAGTCAAAGAGACAGTATTCCATGAAATGATCAATGGCTTATGTGTTGCAATTCACCCTCTGAATACAACTGCAAAAACTTTCCAGTGGATAGCATGAGAGCTGACACTACTTCTTAAAGGCAATAAAAAAGTTTATAATTACAGTTTCCATCACAACTTGTTGATTTGATTTTATCACAAGGTTGGGATATTTATGATCATGAACTGCCAATTTTTCTGGCTTTCCAAGCCATGATTAAGTTTAAAAAAAATTTCCTCATGTTTTCATTTTACTATTCCAAAATTCATTGTTGCACAGAGTATCTTAAACTTCCTAAAAATCTCACAGATGAAATGACCAACTAGATGCGCATCAGTAACCATGCCACACCGAGCCTCACTCAAATACCACTGAGTATTCATATTGATGGCAGCAGATGGTATAATATCAACTTTGAACTTGTAGAGACCTTTTGTTAAATTCTGATGTGTAAGAACAACATACTATTTACATTCCAGTGGTATCTAATCATTAATGGCAAGACAATATATTATGACATTCGAATATTAATTAAAAATAAAACATAAAAAATATGAGTATGATTAAAATGTAAAGGAATTAAGTTTGGAATAACATACAGTGCTGACAAATTTTCAGACACACATAGCTTAAAAATTATAAATTTCTTAAATAATCTTAATAATTAATCTTATTACGTAAAAATTAAAAGAAATATTTATATATAATTTAATAATAAGTACCAGAGTTCTGGATCATCTTTAAATTCTTCAAGCGACCATTTCTGTAATAAAAGTTTCAGCTTTGTAGCAGCAGATGGGTGCATCTGAGGAATATAAAAACATATATGTATTACAAAAAAAGGCATTTTCATAATTATTACAAAAATTTTTAATAAAGATACATTTCATTTTGAACTAATACTTTATTAGCAGAAAAATTACAAAGATTATTATAGCATATCACCTTAGCAAGAAGTTTTCGAACTTCTGCTGTAAATTCACTGGAAGCAACTTGAAGTAAAAATTGTCTATCACAGTTTTTCACACAAGCATCAAGTAACTAAAAGAATATAAAAATAAAACTGTCATTACAAATAACTTCCTCTTAGAACTGAGAATTAATCTGAATAATATTTATGGGAATATAAATTTCATACCATAAACAAGCAATTACTTATCTGCATATCTAAATATATACATAAATACATAAAAACTTCCATAACAAGAATCAGTTTCAGTATCTAAACTTATTTCTATGACACGCACAAAAAAAAAGGGAGGGGGAGGGGGGATTCTGAAAAGACATACATTTAAGAGTACTTCAGTAAACTCATATTACAAAAAATGTCTGGTTATGTATAAATTTTAAAATTTGTATTTAAAGATATGCCAGTTTTAGCAAAGAAATGATAAATAAATACTTCAGAATTTGGTTCACTGTAAAATATGATACAATAAATTTAATTTAACAGTGATACAACAACATTATAGTGAGGTCTTATTTGGAAGCAAATAATTTTTTAAAATTTTTAAGCACCACAGCTTTATAAATGTATTTAGACATTAATGTAACATTTATTATACTGACTTGAGCAATAATTCATGCTATTCTTTTTTTTCATTATCATCAGATGCTGGATGATTTCCAAGTTAGATTCCAGGTAAAGAAAATAAAAGAGCAAAATATTTTAAGAAAGAATAAACTATATAAAAAGACAAAAATTTTCATGAGCATATATGATAAAGATGGCCAAACTTTAGCCACATGCTAGCAATACTAGGAATCTGTCCAGGAATACTAAAGAGTTGCAAAATGATTTAGAAAGAATGTTGACAGTACAAATGAACAGAGCACAGTTTGTTTCAGAAAGCAACACTCTGCCATTGGTTCTAAAGAGTGTGATATGTAATGGTAGGCCACAATTAAGGCCAGGGAGCAGATACTGTAATAGAAAATGAAAGTACTTTTTAAACTGCACTTTGTCAAAAAAAAAAAAAAAAAAAAAAAAAAAGAAGATAGAGGAGAGGAAGAAAAATTATTTATCTGATGATCCAGTTCACATCTAATAGATTAACTTGAAATTTAAAAACAAGTTTAATTTCCATATTCTTTAAAGTAAAAAACTGTCTTTTATATCCCATAGTAGGTTGACAGCTTATTTTAAAATAATTTTTATATCTCAAAGAACAGTTTCTTGCACCGTGTCTCGCATGTCACTTATTTCGTTCTTCTCTATTCATCAAAAGTAAAGAAAAATTCCTAATTATATTTTTTTATCTACTCAATAATGCAAAATCAAAATTCTGTGATGATTAGCAAGAATATGTGAAAAAATTTAACACTAAATAAAAAAAAGTATGTTGAATTAAAAAAAAATGGCTATGTAAACATTCTGCTGTTATCGAATAGGGACCTTTGAGAAATAAGGCCACTCATAGCTCTCTGATGGTGTCATCATAAGAGACTACCCTATCCCTTGGGCATGAGTGATAACTCACACCCAAAGAATGGGATAGGTTTCCTGGCACTCTTCATGGTGCCATCACAAAAATGAAAAATGTGAAGTTTTAGGGGAAAAATCTAACTAAAAAATCATCATTTTTAACAGAAGACTTTGATCAAATAGAAAATTTCGAAGGAATATAACCTCTGATATAAAAATTTCTTCATAATTTTAAGGAAACAAAAGTTAAAAGAACAGTTAGGCAACATCCTGTGCATGGGAACGAGTGGACCACATCAGCTGAGAAAATATTTCATATCAGTAGAAGGACCTTCTTTCTTCTTCTAAACTGTGTCAACATGGGTGAATTCTGTCCCAAGTGCACGTTGTCACGCTACAAAGAGAGTGTATTTTTTGTTTACTACTAAATTTAGCATAATTTATTATTATTTTTTAATATGCTAAGAGGCTATTTCTCTGTTTCAATCTTTACATTGTACAAAATATCTAATTTAAGGCTAGTTTATTCTTATCTTTTAAAATTTCAAAGCAGAGGTTTCAGTGGATTATTTTCTATTATTGAGAATAATTTCATAAACTGCATTACTTACATGAATACCATGGAAACAAAGAGATTTCTCTGTTTTAATCAAGAAGTATAGTCAGACAATACATAATACAAAAAGATAGTTATTTAGATTATAATAAAGCACTCAAGGGTTACTTGTCTGAGGGAAGGGATGTCTTTGTATAGAACTTTTCATGGAAACTGGTTTGTATGCAAGTTACACATGGAGAAAAACACAGGAAAAACTCCTATGCAACTAACCCACCCACTGGCATCATAATTGTATCGAGCTAACGGTGACCGGAAAAATGCCCACAGGAAAAAAGCTCACACAAAAATACGCCTACAAACAAAAAAGCTCACATGGAAAAATGCTCACATGGAAAAATGCTCACTTAGAAATATGCTCACATGGAAATAAGCCCATTGATAAATAAAATATATAAATATCCTTAGATTAATCATCATATTAATCAATTTGAAATCTACACTTACTTAATTGTTCAAGAAAAATTATTATTACCACAATATCATGGTGTATATATATATATATATCAAAACTGTATAACGTATGTGTAGATTCAGTTGCTACAAGATTAAGAAATGGAACCGTTTTGATAGGAAAATGAGTGAAAGAAGAAGAAAAAGAAACAGATTACAGTGAAATAATTCCAATTTAAATGTTAAAAAAAAAATAATAGTAATAAATTCTTATTTCCCCTTGATAAGTCTTAAAAAATTGTTTAATTTTATTTATTAAATTATAGATTATTTCATGGAGTTTTGCACTGATTTGCTTGTGCTTCGAATTAAATGATATTGTACTTAATTAAATCTTCCAGTTTGCATATTTTAAATTTTTAAATTATTTTGGCTTTTTTTTTTTTTTTTTTTTTTAGAATTTAAATTTGCTTTTTACTTTATACGTATTTGTTAAGATTTGTTTAAATTTAATCTAAATATATATTCAAAATTATAATACATAAACATGGCTGCATATTAGGTAATAGTGTAAATATTTTTTATCATCGATTTCACCATATTTTTTTTACATGATTCGCGATTACCAAGTAATTTCCCATTTTCTTTTTTTTTTCACTTCAGTATGCCATGTATTTAAAATAGCTAACAATAAATGTTGACGGACTGAATCTTTTTTGAGTCCGTCAAATTAAAACCACATACTGGGATGGGTACTATTAAATAATGAATTTAGTACCTTTTGAAAGCTTTCGTAACAATTCTTCTAAAAATCTCCTATTCGTAACAATAGGAGATTTTTAAAAGGCTGCTTCATAATGATTACACACTTCCATTGGAAATTGTGGTCTTCTAGAACTTTTTTGGCTCCAAACTTAAATAACTACATTCAAACACCAATTTCTATAGACACATATCAAAAGTACGCAGAAACACAGTAAAAAAAAAACAAAAATTAACTATTGGCAGTTACAGGAATAAAAATATAGTACTGGGACAGTAGTATAAAATATTATAGTACATGCAAAATTTTACTAAATGTAATTTGTGGCTAATCCTTAATATGACTGCAACCGACTTATCGCTGTGCCTTGAGAAGAATTATAGAGATTGGAAAAATAAAAAAAGACCATTTTTTTTTTAAAAATCTAGAAGTTGAAGAAAAAGTATACCTGATGCTTATGAATCCATCATTATTTATCTCCAGAAATGAAACATAATTTTAAATTTGGAACCAAATACATGCATCAAACAAATAAAGGCTAAGAAGAGTAAATTAACCATTAAAGTTGGCTCTTAAACTTACACTGCTAGAAAAGCACTATCAGTAAGAATAAATCAACATCAAAGACCCCTTAGATAAAAAATAGTTTAAAAATTTTAAAAAATAGTTTTTATTCATTTATATACCGTCCCTGAAAAGGTTTATGTCAGCATTTGTCCAATAATGTTTTCCAAACGAACAAATAATTTCCTCTTTAAAAGCGAAGTATATGTACAATGTTCAAATCGATTAATTATTGATTGATTAATGTAAGGATATTTCTACATATTTCATTTATCAGTAGGCTTATTTCCATGCAAGCATATTTCTACGTGAGCATTTTTCCACGTGAGCTTTTTTCTATGTGGGCTTTTTTCCTGTGAGCATTATTCTGTGAGCATTTTTCCTGTGGGCTTTTTTCCTGCGAGCTTTTTTTCCTAGAACCGAGCTAATGGTGCTCAGAGATTTTATTACTCAGTTGCTGGTGGCCTCAGACAAAAACTTTCTACTTAAAAGAATGTGTATAAAAAATATGAACTAGATATATGTACTATGTGGTTATAAATTTAAAAAAAAAATAAATAAATAATATAATAATAAAAACCCTCTCTTCATTTCCTTCTTTAAATCTTTTTTTCTGAAATTTATTAGATATATTTTTAGATAACTGGATTTTGAACAATTATGAAATATTTGAATTGATTGCTCAGTACTTTTCATGAGACAAAGGGAAAAAAATTGTACACAAACTAATGCCATGTATAAATATCATAATATTTAAGTCATTATGAGTGAAACCTAAAGTCTCATTAATTTTGCCAATAACAGTTTCCAGTGCTTCACTAAAATGACCTAGCACTAATACAAGTGAAAAATCAACAATTGGTTAATATAATTGATTACATCTGAGTGTATACTGATATAATTGATTACATGTGAGTGTGCTTCACAAATGAAGCAAAATTGAATCATGATTATTACTTAAATTACTTATCAATTTTATCTAATTGTATAATTTGATATATATTTCCACTTCAGATCTCAATACTGATGAATTTAAAATTCTCATCATACAAATATCATAATTTTATATGTTATACAATATTTAACAATGTTCATCTCATAATTTTTAATGCAAATCTTTGGAGTACATTTAATTTAATGCTCCTACCCCCAATTAATATAATTTTTTTTTTAAATTTATATTAAGTAGACTATCCTTTTTTTGGAAACCGAGGATAAAAAACTTACCAGACAGGCACTTCATATGTCACCTCTAAATCTCCTATTTAAAAGGAAAAAAAAACTTTTTAAAAGTCTGCATTACACAGAGGTTCAAGGATTTGATTCCATATCTATCATATCTCTAAAAATACTCCCTTGGAATTTTATTGTTTTTATCAAAAATATAATCAATGCATATCTCTGCCCGAACTATTTTCGGCAACAGCAGAAACTTATAACAATATATACATTCCCAAAGCCAAGAAAGAATCTAAAATTCCCATTAAGTTACAAGTCAATAAACATTTTCCCTAACTGAGTGAAAATTTTCATACGAGCGCTGCAAAAACAATTTGAGTTATAAAATGCACTCACAGAAACTCTGCAGTAAGGCACACTAATACCCATTAGCTTCTCAATGTCATGGAGCATACTGCAAGAGCATTTACCAATCAAAGCAGTAACAGCATGCTTCCTTTACTTTGAGAGTGTGCTTGTTTGCACATGGCCTATAAGACTATTGAAGCTAAATAATGTTAATCTGTCACTCAACTTCTTGGTATCTTATCTCAAGAACAGTACTTTCCCAGTATGCACAAGAAATACTATCTCTAAATGCTAGATAATTAAATTAAATTAGTGATTTCTCGTTTGAAAAGCGCATTGTAAGGTCGGAGTTTGATCAGAATATCTTGTTATGCCTTGAACAATAATAAAAAGTTCTTTCCAGCAAGTGTTAGAATTCAATTGAGGCAGGATCGTCGCCTATCAAGAGTGTGGATTATGGCTCTGTGATATTGCTGGTCGCACTGGTAGACATTCATGTGAATATAAAATCAATGGGCTGCTTGCTGAAGGTCATACTGAACGACATGCTGGATCTAAATGCCCTCCTATAACTGATGCTTGGGAGGAGAGACATATTGCAAGGTCAGCCCTGCAAAACCATACCACCACATCATGAACCATTAGTCAGGAGATGGGCGTGTTTGCAGAATGCCTAGTTTCTGCTCGTATAGTGCATGGAAGTTTGCAGCCATATGGAACGACGACCATTACTTCCGCTTCCCTTGACAATGCAGCATAGAGAGAGATGGCGACTCTGGGGTGCCGAATGACGAAGCTGGATACAGGAATGGCACAATGTTGCCTTTTCAAACGAGTCCCGATTTTACGTGCAATATCCTGATAGCCATATATGTTTCTAGAGTGTTCGGGGAAACTGCATGTTGCCTGCTCGCATTTGATATCGGCATAGGGGTCCTATACCTGGTGTGATGGTTTGGGCAGCCATTGGGTATATGACACGCACATCTCTAGTTCAGATCGAAGGTAATTTGAATGCATATCGGTACATTTCTGACATCTTATGTCGAGTAGTTGTGCTCTATCTTCGAGGCCTGCCAAACACCCTCTTCCAACAAGACCGCATGTTGTGATCTGACCTTCCTCGATACATAGGGTACTTGATTGCTGCCCTAATCTGTACGGTCTCCAAATCTGTCACCCATTGAAAACGTCTGAGCATGGGTTGCTGACAGACTGTGCCGCCACCCCTCTCCAGCTGCATGTCGGTTGATGAAGTGTGGCATAGACTTGAAGCAGCATGGAATGAGTTGCACGTTTCTGTCGTACATGCCCAGGTCCACTCGATACCTAACAGTTAATGGCCATTTTAGATGACAAGGATGGCAGCTGTTTTACTAATTTTGGACCCTTGTAAATCCCCAAACTACTTATAAATTTAATCATTTTATCTTCATGTCATACTGTTTATGTACAATGAATATCTTTTTTTGTATTATCACAACTACTTAAGCAGAATTCAGCAAAGTTTCAAAATATGCCAAACTCTGTTGACAATGTACATAACAGAGCCAATATGACATAACACTACATTATTTTGTACTATACAGAAATATGATAAACATAATATTTCAACAATAATTCACAGTGCAATATATAACAATACAGTGCATATGATAGGTATAGTATTATGCATAGCACAGGTGGCATATGAAAAACCAGCCTACGCATGTGTACAGACAGATGCTAGCTCTTCTTACTTTGTTGTGGTTCTTACATTCTATAATCATGAACATGCAAGTACAAAAAGAGCTTGAGGAAATGTATTCTGCTCAACAAAGAATCAAAAGTCTCTGTTGATAGCAGGAAGATAGGTCTGGTTTTTGTAGAGCAGTATCATGACTTTTTTACCTCATGAGATCATGAGAAAGACAAAGATGATATCAAGTACAACCTAAGAGGTCTTGATCTGCATAATCTTGAAAGTCTCTACTTATTACAGATACATTAGCAAATTAAAAGCAATTTCACATTATATACATTCGCTGCAAATTACACACTGATGCATGATGCAGTAATATTACCTAATAGCCAATCATGCACTAAAAAATGGTCAGGTACGTGTTTCCATGTTAGTCCGCTTTGGGTGAAGTTTCGAATACCTACCTTATTTAGCAGTAACTGCTGCTTTCATAGCAAACTGAATAAGAGTGTTGCTTACATGCATGTTGGAAAAATTCATTAGTGCTCACATATTACAGTAAAGTAATGTCTAACTTTAATGCGATTTGACAACTGTTTATAGAGAAAAAATAGGACTTATAATTGCAAAAAAACTATTTATTATACACATGTTTTACATTTTAATTCAGTGTTTATTCCAAAAAAATGTATCAATAAACATGTTCTTTTATATTTTGTTTTGGTGAAAACTTTTTAATAATCAGTTTAAGGCTAGTTTCAAAGCAGTTTTAATGATTTGTTGACAATATGCAGTATTCTTGCAAAATGTTAACACATTTTTTTTTTTTGCCTTGCAGACAAATTTTATATGTGCATAAATTTGAGAAAAAATTATGCCATGATTTTTTTCTCCTAAACACCACTGCAAATCGGACAGCAACAAAAAGAACTTATATAAAAATAGTGGTTTTATTTGTTAAAAACTAAACTTAAATTGGGGGGGGGGACTCCAACACACATAAACTTGCCACAAAGACCAGTTATATAACAGAAAATCAGAAACCAAATAATTTTATAAATACTTTGCAATTTCAGCCAATAAATAAATGTTTGTAAAACAAAAGTGTTTATTTTGTATGCTTACTGTCAGAGTCTGTATTACAACACGGGGTACATTATGGTGCAATCTCTTGATAATGGATTTTAAGCAATACTTTGCTCCATCTTGATAATTCACTGTTTTATCACATATATGCATGATCAAAGACCAATCTTCAGAGACATTGTTTTCATGAGTAGCTTTCTCTAAAAATTCAAAAATTAAACATATAAATAAATTAGGAAAAAAAACTATTGTTTTTCTTATAGATGAAAATCCTGACAGAGTGTTATATGAGAAAATTCTGCAAGTATGATACTTTAAAAGAAACTGACATTTAATTTCAGTATCAATTTAAAAGAAAAACATTTAAAAAATATTTTACATTACCTATATCTTCATCAAACGGTGAGTTTCTGAAACCAAACATTATGGACTTAAGATACAGCTTTCAAAACCTTTTATCGACTTCAAATAATCGGATTTTAAATATCACATTTCCCGTACACATCACTTGTTCTTCCAAAACAGTAACACACCAAGTACCTCCAGTAAAGAAAAAGAAATATATCATGTGCTCTAATGATGACTTGATGATGCAATTTCCAAACACATTTTTTATAACTAAATCTTAGAAAATCCTATATTATAATAATAAATATAAATAATCAAATAAATATAAAATTCTGGGATTTATAAAAGCTAAAATGAATAAATACTGAGGCTAACTAATTTTTTCCAAAATTTACTGTCAAAAATATTCATTTAATCTAATTCAAGGCCAAATAATTAAAAACACATGAAAATTTAGTATCTTAGAATTTTTTATTACTATTCCACAGTAAAAGTGTTTTTAAATTAATTTCTGGAATTTTGTGTAATAAAGTAACCGCATTGATGACGTCTCAGCTTCTCACGTGACCACCTCCTCCGTCTTTCACTCCGGTCTTTCCTCTGCAACGTGTTGTGTGGGAAAGGTGTGCTCGCAGTTTGGTGAGATTTGTAATCTAATTTCAGTGTAGAGATTTTTAAGTAATTTCTTATTTTATTTCCTTTTTTAGCTTTGGTGTGTGCTGTAGAATTGAACTAATGTAATATTTTCAGTTTATGTCTTGTATTATTTTTGTAGAATTATGGTAATTATTGATACCGGCTTGACTAGCAACTCGTGGCACTCATAATCGGTGTATTACTAAGTGACTTCGGAAAATAACTGCCTTAAACCTAACAATTTAGGATGTATTCGAAACTGTAATTCTTAATTTCTTTTAGTGTGTGAATTTTAATTTTTAATTTTTGAGATAGATTGAAGTGCTCCTGTTTCGTGCTCAGTTCATTCGAGCCGCCATGTTTGCTAGTCAAGTTCTTTCGATCTCGGGAATGATAAACGAGTTCGCAAAGGGCATTTCCGGATAATTAATTTTGATATATTTAAAGAATTGAAACTGAATTGTGTCATGGAATTTAAATAATTTTCTAATATCATATAAATCTTAACTTGCACGTGCCCTAGTTACTAAATTTATCAATGATATATAACTTCATTTTTACTACTCGGTTGAAGAATGCAGTTTAGGAATATATTAGGAATATTTACCTAATTTAATTAAAATTACTAGAAAGTTTTTACAGAACGAGTGAAATTGTTTTTCAATGAATAAGTAAGGCTTAAAAAAGCCGATTTAAAAAAAGTTTTTAATCTGTTTATTATTCTGCTCGTTAATTTGCCTTTCATTTTGCAGTTATTTATTTCAATTGACGTAAGCAATCATGCCTAAGGAAAAGACTCATATTAACATTGTGGTTATTGGCCACGTCGATTCCGGAAAAAGTACCACGACTGGTCATTTGATCTACAAATGTGGTGGTATTGATAAAAGAACCATTGAAAAATTCGAAAAAGAGGCCCAAGAGGTAATGTATAAACTTTTATTTGGTAACTTAAGAAACGTGCTTATGTACTTCAACAAAGTGTTCTTGTAATCGTAATAGTAAATCTTTCCTAAAGATTGTTGTAAGGTTTAATGGTAGTAATATTAAAACTCGTACCCCTAAGAAGTAATAATCGATATTCCATTTCGTTTGAAGTTAATACAGCATTTTCTGCGAAAACAAAAAAAATGACAAAATTTTAAAAATACATAAAGTGTATTTTTTATTTCCATTAAAATTTAAAAAGTTTTAGCTTATCTACAAAACTACTAGTATAGCTGCTGAAGATTCACACATGTAAATCTACATATTATATTTATTGTTTATTTGCAGATTATTGTAATGTGCTATAGAAAACTGATATATAGATTATGAGAAGTAGATTAGAATGACTTGGAAATTCGGTTTACCCCTAATCTTAGTCTGCTGTATGATAGCTAAAATTCAACAGTAATTTTTTATTAAAACTTAGTTGAATATGTATTAGAATGAGAGTTGAAAAGATGGAAATATATGTAGATTTTAACTTGTAATGATTGAAAATGGATGGATGAAAAAATTCATAGCATTAGCCCTAATACAGACTGTCCACCTGATGACTCAAATCTTGGTCCAATTTTGTATTTTAGAAATCTTGTGCAAAAGTTTGTTAGAACCCAACGAGTTTCCTAAAACCTCACTAAAATTTCTATTTACCTATGTTTTCTTGTGTAGACAGATAAATTTAAACCATGTGCAAGTGCTTTTGATGATTAGAATAAATTGTTCATTTTAAGTCTAGCATATTGCATATAGAGATGGTGGAGCAAAAATTGTGTACTAAAGCATTTTCACCTCAATGCTAAGAAGAGCTTATATTATTGGTGTAGTGTGACGATTTTTTATTTTAAAAGATGGAAGTGAGGAAAGAAATTACTAAATATTACATGTGCAATTTATGCTGAAATAAGTATTTGTTTGGAAAACCAAATGTTACAAGTGGCTTTTTGCTCCAGTGGGAAATTTTTCTGTAGAAAAATAGATTTGAAAAATCGGTTACTTTAGCGATTTTACAGCAGAATACTGTATTCCTGCAGAAATTGTACTGCATCTACAGGCAAATCTCATGTTTTATGATTGAGAAAATTGCAAATTATCCAACCTTGCTTAATGGAACTAGGATTGTAAGAAAAGAATGCATATGAAAATGGCAATGTTTGGTTGCTAAAAACTAGAAAATTGATTGCATTTGTCCCATATTAAACACATTTTGAAAATTTCTTGCAGAAGTACTGGAATTTTTTTCTTATTCAACATGTAATATTTTATTCCTGGAAATGGCAGTGTGAAAAATTGAGATTTTTTTCTATTTATACCTGTAATTTGTATGCTATTGCTGGCTAAGCAGGTCATAAATAATCTGAACTATAAATTTATACATGTAAATCGGTAATTTTGCTTGTTTTTGAGTTTAATTTGTTGAATTTCACTGAACATTTTGAAATATGGGTATTTTTTTATTTGAAACCCCTTTGGTTGACAGGCTAATGGTTTTAACATAAGTTCTTGCTATTTTGGGACTTTGGTAATTGTCAGTGTCTTCGCTTGCATCTAATGACATGCAAGGTTGGCTAGACTGGAGATTATGTCCCAGTTGCCAAGTTAAGTGAAATTATGCCAAATCTGGCAAACCTCATTTTTTGTGTAATGAAAATTTTTAGTTTGTATTTATTCAGGCTTTTTGAAGGCTCATATTTAGATGAGTATTGGATATTACCTATTTGTTTCCTTTAACCCAGTGTACTTGAGATGCTAGTAAAAACGATAATATTCGTGCTGACACCAGCAAGTATTAGTTTGTCATTTCATTGTGCTTCTCATGAATATTGTGAGCAAAATGGCCAGCATTGAAAGGCTTGAATGTGTAGTTTTTTCTTATTTGATTCGGTTGCAGAATAAGGGTGAAAGATGTGCGATAGAATGGTGCATGAATTGTTAGATTTATAATGTCTACAATTGATCCAAGTGAAAAAATAGTGTGAAATTAGTTAAAAGGTAAGATGCAACAGATTTGTGTGAATGGAGGTATGTGTGCAGTTCATCCCAGCACATCAAAGCAGTGCAAGAAAGAGCAACTAGGTTTTCCAAGGAACCGAATACCTGTCAGTCTGGTTGTTCAACTAACACATTTGTGGCTTTAAGAAATGCACGAATTGCTTTATTATGCATGATTTAATACAGTTGAATTGAAATGTGGAAATTGATTAATACAAATTTTGATTTAAATATAAATCAAGTATTTCTCATTAGATGTAAGTACATTTATGTGTGATTAAGTGCACCACTTTGAATTTTATCTTGAATTGTATTATAGTATAGATGTAAACAAATGTGGTTTTCTACTGTTTATTAAAAATATAAATTTTGTAGTTGACCGTTTCCCTTACAAATTTTGTTGAAGAAAATTGCAAAAAATGATCACATTATTTTATTAAATACAAAATATGTAGGTTTTAAGTTGAATTTTTGAAGGGGTAAAAGCATTTAGTTTTAGTATTAGTTTACTATCCCAAGTTACCTTAGGCAAACTAAAAAAAGTTTAAATATTAGTTTTTGTATGATAGTTTTAAACAAGGAACAGCATAAAGTAATACCTGAGTACACTGGTATCATACCACTGGAATCTTTCATGGGAGCAGAGTACACTGTCTCATTGGATATTTTTAAAAAAAATTTTCTACCTGTTCAATGTCATCTGAAAAATCATTGCCATTACATACCTGCCAACTTTTAGGAATTTTTTGTAATTTTTACGAAAATGCGTTTGTCTTTACTATTTTACGATTGTAATCCATTTTTTAAGATTTTTTTCCTTTTCAAGTGTTTTTAGTGATTTTTGTCAAAATTTTAGAATTTTTTGCCAATTCAGCGATTTTCGCAAATTGCATTGTATTTTACAGCCAACTACCGACTACTTCGAATCAAGTAACCTGCGGCTTATCCCAACTCGCCGCTTAACCAGCCAATCCAATGCGCTGAACTTGTTTCTCCCAGTCTTTTCTTTGTGGGTGCCAGATTATTTTTTTCGTGTTCGCTTCAGCAGCAAGGGAAATACTCAGCGAGCGTGGATTGTTGCATTCTGTTTGCACTGAACTTGTTTCTTCCACTTTTTTCTTTGTGGGTGCCAGATTTTTTTTTCGCGTTCGCTTCAGCAGCAAAGGAAATACTCAGCGAGCGTGGATTGTTGCATTCTGTTTTTTTTTTTTTTGTTTGCACGTGCTACGAATTTTACGAAATGGACTTGATGTCCTCGTTGGTTGGTACCTTAAAACCTACCCTCTACTATGTACTGTCTTTTAGGGTTACTGTGTGGAGTTTTTATACGTTTTGCATTGCCTTCAGATGCAAAATGTATAAAAACTGTTCCTTCTTTTTTTATTTCGTTCCTTTTTTATTTAGGAAAGCCTCACCTCAAGTCTATTATGGTGGGAAGGCACTATTTATCAGAGGAAGAATACCCTAGTATGGTTAGTGAACCATTTACTAACGCAAATGAGAGTACCGATTCATTTTCTAAAGAGTTAAGACACTTCTCTGTGCTTCGAGATTTACCACACTCGTTTTCATTTTAAATTTTGTTACTTCTTACTGTAAATAGTCTTTATTGTGTACTTTTTATTAATTTTAAACTTTATTGATGGATTATATAAATTAAAACTTTGGAATAATTTGAATAGTGCTTCTGAAAATTATTTTAGAAGATAAGCAATTTTTTAAGTATATTTTCATGTAAAATGAAAGAAAAAAATGTTTTAAGGGCTAATTTTAACATATATGAACTCAAGTAATAATCTAAAATGATACCAAAACTTACGATGCTAGAAGCGAAACTTGTTTTTCTGTTTTTTGTTATAAAATTAGGCTTAGCAATGCAAAACCTCCGTCCTGTACGGTGACTGCCTTCGATTCTCTTCTGTCCCACACGAGCGTCTTGAACAAAGGTGTGCCGTCGCGAAAAGGTTAAGGGATAGGTGAGACTTTCAATTGTTCCCGGAGTGTTGTCGCTCAGAATTAGTGCAGTGGGCATGTGTGCCTGTAGGTTAGAATATATGTATGATATAACTTGGGAGGGTTACTGTAATGGGAAAAAAGGACAGTACATAATGTCTCGGGAAAAAAATAAATGTACTTTTTCGAATATATGCAAATAGCCCTTTTTATTTGTATGGTGTTTTGGATAAAAATTTACAATATGTATAATCCATTCTAAACTTCAAAAAAAGCTTACGCATTAAAGAAATGTAAAAGTTTTTATTTAAATGTTTTTGGCCATAAAGTACTTGATGTGATTTAGAAAATTTTTGTGAATTTATAATTTTTTTTTTCCAGATGGGAAAAGGCTCTTTCAAGTATGCTTGGGTTTTGGATAAACTGAAAGCAGAAAGAGAACGTGGTATAACAATTGATATTACTCTTTGGAAGTTTGAAACTTCAAAATATTATGTTACTGTTATTGATGCCCCTGGACACAGGGATTTTATCAAGAACATGATTACTGGAACATCTCAGGTAAGTTATAAATGATATGAATAAGTAAATTTGTAAATGTTGAAATTTTACGTGAATTTTTAATTTTTTTGCATCTATTATGGTAATGATTGTTGACCAAATGTTTACTAAAATTGAAATTTATTCAAAATTTCCTAAGGTACATGATTTTACATATTGGCATATGCTTTAACACTTTGGCATAATAAAATTACTTATGAGTTATATATTACAATAAAAATTAGGTTGTTGGCCTAATAAAAATATGCTTTTAACACTTTGGCATAATAAATTACTTATGAGTTATATATTACAATAAAAATAAGGTTGCTGTAAATTTTGTCAAGTGACTTATTATGACATATTTTTGGTGCATACTTTAAGAAAATGTGTGTCAAGATGCTTTTTGGTGATTTTTGTCAAAATTTTACAATTTTTCGCAAATTCAGTGATTTTCGCCAATTGCATGGTGTTTTACTGCGAACTCCCGACTACTTCGAATCCAGTAACCTGTGGTTTCTCCCAACTCACAGCTTAATCAGCTAGTGGATGAACTACAGAACCAATTTTCTGCTGCACAGTTTGTGAAGACTGCCATTCTAGAGAAGAGAGACTTGATGTCCTCGTTGGTACCTTAAAAAGAATAAAAAGAGCTGATGGAACATCAAAATATGATAGACTAGCAAGAGTTTTATGTGCTCATAATTTCACATAGTAATGCTGAGTGCGAGAGAGACTTCAGTGTTGTGAAGAAAAATAAAACTTTCGTTTTTAAATTTCACCAAAAACTCTAGAAAACATTTTATTTTCTAAATGTTAGGAGGAAACTAATTGTTATGACAGGAAATTTTCCAAAGAATTTTTGGCTAAAGCCAAAAAATGCACTCTAAATTCATTGCAATAATTTTTTTTGTGTTCTTGTTTTATGTTTCCTAATAAATTTTTTAGTTACTACTTAATTGAGATTTACTAATGTAAGTACAATTTTCTTTTCTCTATTTGTATAAATTGTTATTTTTTAATATCAAAGCATAATATTAATTCTTTGTGTTTTGAATTTGGGGGAGAAATCTTCTGAATTTTTATGTGCCTTTGAGTCGCAGAAAAATGCAAATTAAAATTAATCAATTGGCCCTGTAAAATAGAAGATGTATATCTGCCCCATGATTTTTTGTGCAGCATACCCTTATCGGGAAATGGGAGATACATAACTGTCTCATTCTTTTTTGTACAGCATACCCGTGTCAAGACTGTATTCAGAAATGTAAGGATGTACACACACATTTCTTAATTCAGTCCTGATAATGGAAGAGTACCTAATTGTGTTCTAAATATTTCACTGATTAGTATGTTAGCTGTAAATGCTCAAATTCCAATATAATTTGTTGCTGCATAAAGCAGTTTTAAAGATGTAACATTGGATTAACAATTATGGGTGTCATGCAACTGATAAACTTCATACAGTTAGGCAAACTGGTATGTGCGGGCAAAGCAAAATGAAAGCAGAAAGCAATGATATTTATAATGGTTCTTAGTTGAAATTTTGATATGCTTGAATAAAAGCTGTCACATTGCAGTATTGCAGAAGTAAGAATGAAGCATTAATTTTCAGGTACACTTTAGTTTCATATGTTATAAACATGCTAAATAGAACTACTTTTATATCTTATATATATCCAAGTAAATATGAATGTGCACCTTATAGGCTAAGAATGTTTTTGTAAAATCTGTTTTGATATTTGAAGTGAGTATCTAAGAAAATCATTTGGCAGATGGAATTTCTTTTTGACGTATGCAGTTTAGTTCTTGATAGTTAAAACCCTGGATATAAAAATAAGATTTAAAGCTTTTAGTATTCCCTAAATGCTATACATTTTTAAAACTAAAGGCTAAAACTGTAATGTGCCAGGAAATGCTCATGTACAATTTTAATTTTCATCCTTAGAAGTGTAAAAAATATTTTGTAAATTGTTGAAAATCATCACTGAAAAAGTCTCAGAAAATTAAGAATTTAAATGTATGCATTCGATTTCTCTTAAAATAAAGTTAATTAATTCTCCCTTTTAAACAAATCAGCAATAAAGCATTGTTATCCCAATTGAGTATATGAATTGCAAGATTCACCTTTAATGATATTATCTCGGAGTAAGAAAAACTAGAGAGCAAGAGAAGCTATATACACAGCTGCAGCATCAATCCTTTTGCCAATTAAGATATTAGCTATATAGCTTAAAAAGCATAAAGACGCTGTGATTTAATGTCTGTTGTATATATTGTATACAGTAAAACCAATTTTATGCCACTTCAATAATTGTTTCAGTGCCCTACTTTGAAAAATATTTTTTCTAGGCTGATTGTGCTGTTCTGATTGTTGCTGCTGGTACTGGAGAGTTTGAAGCAGGCATATCTAAAAATGGCCAAACTAGAGAGCATGCCTTACTTGCTTATACTTTAGGAGTCAAACAAATGATTGTTGGTGTAAATAAAATGGACACAACTGAACCTCCTTTCAGTGAGGTAAGTTTTTTAAATTTAGTTATTTTAAACTTAATTTAGTTATTTTAAACAGTTAATGTGTTATGTTTTAAACAATTACTAATTAATAAGATTAATTTTTCCAGTCTCGTTTTGAAGAAATTAAGAAAGAAGTGTCAGCTTATATCAAGAAAATTGGTTACAATCCAGCAACAGTTCCATTTGTTCCAATCTCTGGATGGAATGGAGATAACATGTTAGAGCCTAGCACAAACATGCCATGGTACAAAGGATGGGCAATAGAGAGAAAAGGTAGTAAAGCTGATGGTAAGACCTTGTTGCAAGCATTGGATGCAATGGAACCGATCAAGCATGGTACCCGTTTCCCTGAGATTTACAAATGATTTAATTTATTTTTTTCTCGATGTAATTTTTTATTTAACATTTTTTAATCTTTAATCCTAAATAAAGCATTTATTTTTTTAACCTTCTAAAACCGGCCGAAATTCTCATATTATATAGCTTTCAGACCAGCGCAATCCGAAACAGTTTTGCCCCCTCTTTGACATTTTCCTAATGAGAAAAGTCGTCAGTTCCCCTCCATGGATGAAGTAAAATTTACATGTTTGTCGGACGCCTACGTCCCATAGTAGAGGAGTTGCTAGATTTGCAATTTTTTCGATGATTATTTTGCTTTCATATTTAAGTGAAAGCAAAATTCTAAATAAATAGTGCATAAATAAATGTGCAGTACTGGATGCATATCCAGTGCACACTTTATTTAGAACAAAATGTATGCAATGTTTATATTTCATTCACTATTTCTAATCAATCTCGTAAATAATTTGTGAATTTTTTAACTTTGTTTTCACTCTTCATTTATATTCGCGTATTTTCGTATTAGAAATTAGCAAGCGAGAACAAAATTTAACAAAATATAGTAAATACAGACTAGATCTGTAAGTCTGCAGGCCGGAATGCGATTTTTAATAACATATTTTCATTAATAAAATAATGGTAATGACTAATTTAATGAAATAATAATAATAATTTATTACCATTAGATGATTAGAATGAGATTCAATACAAATAGATTTTGAGATGAACTTACAGCAATAATAAAGCTTTACATAACAATAACAGAGATTTAAATCTGCTTTTTTCGATAATTTTGTTATTATAATATAAAAATCAAAATCCGAGATACATTGGTTGCGTTTAATAATTAATTTTAACAAATATTACATTGGACTATCAGGCAAAGAAGGTATATCTTTAACGAGAATTTTTCTTTGTAAAATTGGCTTTTGTTTATGTTAGCCGAGAAAAAAATTCGTGACTTATACATGCAATCATCAAAAGAATTTTGAGAACAGTTTTAAATGTTCATGAAGAATTAATTATACGTCAATTTCTTTCCATAGGTAGAAATTTCGTCTAAAACTATCGTTATATCCAAAAGTTGAAGTCTATTTCATTTTCAACGAATATTCTATTTGCACATAATATATTTTCCAATTTATTTTAGAAAGAGTAATCTTTCACGTTTTCAAAAGAATAAGGAAAATATGGGTGTTGATACCATGTAGTAAATTTGTTTTTTATATTTCTTCCAGTAATGAAAACGATTACCCTGCAATATTTTCAAAGCAAAATTAAGAAAACCGTTTACGCCAAATTGTGCATAAAGTATCTTCTCGTGTATATTTTTATTTAAAGTGTGGAATTTTCTCTTTGAAAATATCAAAAATCATGAAGAGCAAAATTAATTCATGAGAAATAACTTTGAAATGCAATAATTCCATTGTAATATGACATAGTGGATAAAAGTGCAATACAGTTTATTTATTCACAAATAATCCCCCTCATATGCGTAATTTATGTACTGTCGATTGAGAAATATAGGTTAGTAAATTAAACCGGTTAATTCAATACTTTTCCTTTATCAATATTTTTACCTGCTCTTCAGTAAAGCGGTAAAGGTGGCTGAACACTTATAGCTCGCTTGGATTTGAATCCCGGATAAATAGTTGGAGTCATGGTTTTTGTGTAACGTAAATGCAAGCCAGCTTCTCTTAGAAAGTCCTCCGCGAAGACATAACTCCCCTTATACAGGTAATCGTTGGGTGCTTTGATGTAATTCAGTAAGCGAACAAATTAATCCAATCAATACCGAAGAACGGGTTGATTACATGTGGAGTTTTCCACCAGGAATGTAAATGCGAGCAATTTTCTCTTAAAAAGGTTTACACGAAAGCATCCATTCCCTTAAGCAGATAGCGTTCGCGTGCTTTTCCGTAATCCAATCCTAATTTTCATACATTTAGTAGTAAGTTGACATACACCTTATTACAGACAAAATAACAACAACTTTTTTAAAGATATTTTTTTATCAACTTGTCTGAATTCTCTCTATCTCTTGAAGAGTATAAGAATTTCAGCAAATAAAACTGGCCAAAATTTTATAACATTTAACTGATGTTTTGATTCAGTTTAGAAGTAACGTGAGCTTTACTGATATTTAAATATTTTTTGGCAGATCTCATCCTAAAAGAGGGTGTAAAGATAAATTGATTTTATTTAATTTACAATCAATGAAAATCATTGAAAGCAATCACTGAATGAATGAAAATCAGAAAAAACTATTATGCATACAATTGTCTCTTATTTATCTCCTGATAAATCAGACAAAATTGCCTGCATAATAGAAGCACTTTGAAAGAGTTGACAGTTCTTAAGGGTTTTATGCACTCCACAAAACAATGTCAAAATAAAATCTTATTATTCATAAGTATGAAAAGGAAGTAAACGAGTAAACGATAAAAACGGTTTTACCTATTTTCTAGAAGGGCATTAAATCTAAAATATTAATCTATTCTTATTTGTTATGATTAAAGAACATTAAATATGGTAAGCTTAAAGAGTAAAGGCGTGCAAAAACGCGACGTTAATCATAGCAAAGTCACTACGTCAAAAGTCTAAGCTCGTCGGGACTTCGGCGATTCCGGAATATCGATTTTTCCGGATTATAGATCATCAGTTTAAATCTCGTAAGATGGCATGCAGAAATTCTAAAATTAAAAATATGAAACAGTAATTTATGAAATAAAGAACAATTATGATCTAAAGGGTATCAAAATTTACAAAAAAAAGCTTAGTATTTATTTGTTTACTTTATTAAACATTTCTCTCAATGTAAGTTTAAGTTGCTTCATTTTATGTGATAATACTTTCTCTTTAATTCTATAAATTTACAAAAAAAAAAGCATAATATTTATTTGTTTACTTTATTAAACATTTCTCTCAATGTAAGTTGTTTAAGTTGCTTCATTTTATGTGATGATATTTTCTCTTTAATTCTATAAAAAGACATAATTTCTTGTTCAGTTACAAAGTTCCGCTGTTCAAGTCCCGGTAATTGCTGTGCCGAGAATACCGACTAACTTGTCAATCGCAATTTTTTCGTTTTCACTAACCTCTGTCACATTCTTCATGTCTTTATCCATTTTTTGCAGCAATTCCACTTTTTGTTTGTTGGACATCGAAACATACTTTCGTTTTGTAGATCCTTTGGAAGTTCCAGCATCGGAAATTCTATTTGACATAATCGAAAGTTCAAGTTTACTTTTATAAAATTGCTCTTACAGTCTGCAAAATATAATAAGCGGGATCCAATTCAAAGATTAAGGAACAACGCAATCATTAACATTAAATGAAAGAGATAATTAGATAATTTTAGCTTACACCGTCCGTTATACATTAAATGCGCAGGCGAAAACGTATTCTGCACTTGCGCACACGCATATGCGCAGTAGTCAAGGTCTTACGCCAAGGGTCTTACGCGCACGCGTAAAATGCCTGTGCGCATGTGCCAACGCGGCGCATGCGCAGACAGTTTTTAGCTTTGAGGTCCGGATTATAGATCATTCCGAATTATGGGTGTCCGAATTAACGACTTTTGACTGTATTTATTTGTTTACTTTATTAAACATTTCTTTCAATGTAAGTTGTTTAAGTTGCTTCATTTCATGTGATAATATTTTCTCTTTAATTCTATTAAACAGACATAATTTCTTGTTTAGTTACAAAGTTCCGCTGTTCAAGTCCTATAATTGCTGTGTTGAGAATACCGACTAATTTGTCAATAGAAATTTTTTCGTTTTCAATAACCTCCGTGTCTCTTTCTTTACTATCGGAAGCGAATTATAATGACGGGGGAACTTGTTTTAAATCATATCAAAGACGGAGCGGAGCACATCGAGATGAAATACTACATTTGGTAAGGAATTATAAGCCGCATAAAATAAAAACATCTGCCCTGAAGATAAGGATAGTGCTGACAGATGAACTTCCAATTATAAAGGCCCCCCTCCCCGAGCAGCGTGAAATTGATAAACATATTTCGAATTTTGAAACATACTTTCGCTTTAGATCCTTTACATATTAGCAAATATATATCGGAAATTCTATTTGTAATCAAAAGTTCAAGCTTACTTTTATAAAATTGCTCTAACAGTCTGCAAAAAATAATAATCCGAATCCTATTTGAAGACTAAGGAACAATGCAATCTGCAACATTAACTGAATTAGATAATTTTAGCTTAGCTTATACCGTCCGTTATACATTAAATGTGCATGCGTAAATGTTTTATGCGCACACGCACATTCGCAGCCGTGAAAGTCTTATGCGCACATGTAAACGCCTATGCGCATGCGCAGAAAGTTTGTAGCTTTGAGGTCCGCATTATAGATCATTCCAGATTATGGGTGTCCGAATTAATGACTTTTGACTGTACTAAAAAAATTAGCATTAAAAATATGAGACAGATTGAGAAAGAGATGGCCTCTATTTAATTTTCAAGTATATTGGTGCTAGACGAAACCTGCAGTTTTTGCCAAAACATAGCCAAACTGATAAGAAGAGGGAAATAATGTGTAGCCAGCGGCTACTCTGAGCAGCAACAATGGACTGCCCAAAGATCTAGAGATAGGCAATTCTCTAAAATGGGGAGGGCATGGATGGTACGACAGTTGTACCAATGGTGGCATCTGAGAAAGTCATTCTGCTGGTACAACTGCTGTACCAGCCGGCTTCGAGAGGTTAATGCACTGCTGCCATTAAAATTGTAACACTATGAAGAAAAGCGAATACAAAAAAAAAAAGCACGTATACGGTATGGCGTGAAGACAAAGTGTGATTACATTTGTAATCATTTTGGAGGTTTACAGGGGTGCAGAATTGGTAGAAGCAGCTGCCATTCCTAAAAGCTAACAGACCTTACACCATTAGGCATGGAGTAAAACTGGACTTGGATGACAGAAATGGGCAACTCATTCCATGCTGCTTTGTCTGCCACATTTCATCAACCGTGTTGGCTGTGGAGGAATAGCGGGCAGGTCTCTCAGTGACCCATGACCAGGTGTTTTCAATGGGTGATAGATCTGGAGACCATGAAGGCCAGAACAACAATCAAATATCCTGTGCCATGTACCCAATGGCTGCCCAAACCATAACACCAGGTGCAGAGCCTCTATGCCGATATCAAATCAAACAGCGACGTGCGGTCTCCTTGGCCATTCTAGACACTTATATGGCCATCAGAATACTACATGTAGAATCATGTACTGCATCAGAATACATTTTACATAGCACAACATAAGTCTTAATTTATACCTAGCATTTGTCTAGATAATCGCAAATGTGACTGGATTATCAACCATTTCAACAATTCTTTCTGTCCTTATACTAGCTTTGTTCTAACTATCCTTACGCCCTTGTAATCCAGCTTCTCTGATGACTTGTTGAACAGTTTTAAGGTGAAATTGAAGTAGAAAACTATGCACTAAATTCTGCAGAAACTTTTACAGCACTCAGATGTGGGTTTTTCACAAATTTTCTAATCTCTTGAATTATGTTTAGTTAACTTTCTCAGTCGACCTTTTGTTACCTTGTTTCAATCCGATTTTCTTCTACTGCAATATAGAATGGGATAAATTAACTAATTTAGCAATATTTTGAATTGATTTAACACTACTGGGGGGGATTATCAATTTTCGAATGCTGTTTGTAGTTTCTTTATGACTGCGACCAATTTTTCAATAATAAATAGAATATTATAAAGTAAACAATAAAAAATGAAAGCAATCTATTTTTTAAATTCCGCCACAATGCAAAAATTAAAAGAAAAGCGGCAAACGGTAATTCTAATTTTGATTTTATTCTAAAATATTTCAGTATACGAAGACTTGTGAAATAAAATGTTTATCGTTTTTTGATTATTAATTTCTTAAAAATAGTTTCGCTATATTTAAAAAATCTGATGTGTACACCACATGACTTCCTTGTACGGAATATTAAATTATATGCATTTTTTCTTGCATTTCATTTACCTTATTAGATTGAATGAAACCTACTTCGCAGACAGTGCATAAACCACAATAGAATAAATGCATTCTTTAAAATTCACATTGTTTACCATAGCGACACTCTGGTGCTAGGTTTACTTAACAATATCATATTTCATTCATATTATAACTCAGAATGCACAAAATTTATAGCATTTAAAGAATAGAATTATCTAATCGTTGCCACATGTTCTATTCAACTATTATAATAAAGCTAGAACTATGTATAAAAGAAATTAAGCAAACAAAACAAAAAAGAAAGTTTTTCACAATTGAGTATTTCTCATTCAATTAATTCAGTTTTCACTTCACGACAAGGCAAAAATACATAAAATCGCAAAATATCTGTTAAAAATTACGAAGTAAATCTTAAATACTTATTTCCTCGAAAAAATTCCGGAAAGGATTAAGCATTATTTAATTTGCAATAATAAATGAAGGCGTTATTTTTGTGTTGCGAAGCTTAGTCCCTCTAAACAATAAAAAATTGATTGGCAACAAATCTACAATTCTGCTGTTTCCAATGTAAACAAATATGTCTGCCATGTTATTTAAAACTTAACCGCCGCACTTAAACAGCTTTTAAATTTTTGATAATTGTACAAATATTGCTTCCAGAATTACAAAAGGCTTAAAAACTTTAACCGGAAGATAAAAACAACATAATTCAATCATTTTTAAAGCAAAAAAAATGTACAATTTATAAACATATAAGAGTAAAGAAACTGAGATCACTGAGCCGGGTATATTTATAAATATATTTATATACGTTTGGCGCGGCCGATTGAAACCAAAATCTGAGGCTACTCGATTTTGAGTTATGCGAGATACATTCGTACAGATGCCACAAAAAATTCTGTTCAGAATTCATTTTAAAGCAGTTTTGTAGTTTTTTTGGAGGAAAAGTCTTATTGTATCCTTATGTATAGATATCATGCAAAAACATTGTTTAATTGCATTCTAAAGCGGTCAAAGTGGATATTTTCGTTGAAATATGCTTCCTGAAGCTTTTCGCAATTACAATACTTCCTTTTTACTTCGTACAAGGAAGTAAGAATATTTCATGTAATTTTGTTATGAATAGATCTTATTATTAAAATCTCATTGAGAAAGTTTACTTTTAATTAATGGATAGAACCTTATTTCTATCAAAATCATAAGTGTTGAAACACTTTTGGGAGCCACTGTATAAGTACCTTATGTGTTCGAATAAATACACTGAAAATTATTTTAAATACCTACCTACTCCTGTTGTGAAATTTAGTTATATGAAGAATGTGATTTTTTTAGTTATCTGTTTCTCTTTATTGCAGATATTTCTTAATGATTTTAGTATGCCAGTAGGTGTTGCAATAAATATGTTACATATAACATCGCATGGTATTTTTCATAATTAGTATTTGTTAAAAGGGCAAGTTGCATCATGCATATTGAAGCTGGAGTGTAATTGATTGGTAATTTTTTAGGTATTGGAACTGTCCCTGTTGGTAGAGTTGAAACAGGTGTATTAAAACCAGGAACAGTTGTAACCTTTGCACCTGCTAACATTACTACTGAAGTAAAATCTGTAGAAATGCACCATGAAGCTCTTACTGAAGCTGTTCCAGGAGACAATGTTGGTTTCAACGTGAAGAACGTTTCTGTTAAGGTAATCACTACTTTTTAGTTTAAAATTTTATGGGTTCTTTTTCTGTTATTGGGCCCGAATTTGGAAATGTATCTGTGTATGAACCATAGAGGTAAAAAAAAGAGGCACGCTGCAGTAAGACTGAAGCCAGTCTCCATAGGGGTCTTTTGTTTACATCTAGAGCATCCCTATCCTTAACAGTGCTTTGATAGTATTTTCACTGACAGTTCCGTACAAAACAAAAAAGTGTCACTTCTGCATATAAAAGAAAAACACTCATTGTTCGATAATAGCAATTTGTATAGTTTAATGGCATTTATACAAAAATCACATCATGCTTATTTTTTGATAATTTGCGACATTGAGTTTGATTATGAATTTGTTCTTTAAAATTCTAAGCTACTAACTAGACTATAAGAATATAGATTTTAGAAAAAATGTTATGTAAGGAAAGAAAAACACCTTAAGTATCTTTAAAATGTCAAGACAGGATGTAACTTTATACATATTTTCTTATGTAAAAATTCAGGAAAATTTACTATAAATTAGCCAAATATACATATTTTCTTATGTAAAAATTCAGAAAAATAGTTTACTATAAATTAGCCAAGTGTATTCTTGGCACAAACTGAAAAAACACCAGGATAAATTTCTCGCCCAAAATTACAAAATTTAACATTTGGGCAGAATTCATCTTAGAATCGAAATGTGGGAAAAAATTGACATGTTAGAAAAAAGCTATGTATAAATTTTAATATAAGGTCGAAGTTGTGCTTTCTCAAGACATGCAATTTGGATTTCATCAATCGGCCAGTAGAAAGGGAACTTTAGAACTGTCCTCTTTTTTTTTTTTTTACGCAGTGTACATGCATTGTAGTCCAGTTACAGAAGGGTACCTTTTAAAACTAACAAGCTTTTGTAAAAATGGGTTTCAATTTTCTGTTGATATAACGAAGACAAAACACCGATATACTATTTATACTGTTATATTATGTGTTATGTTATACTATGTACAAATTTGAAAATGAACTTTTAAAAATAAACCAAAGTGTAGTCTGACTATACCTACATTACTTGTAGTGGGACACCTAATGTTTACTATATTTCTACCTGAACCTGATATTGATATAATCAAGAAAGTTCATTAACAGAACTGTTTTGCTCATAGGAATTACGTAGAGGTTACGTATGTGGAGACAGCAAAGATAATCCTCCCAAGAGCACAGAAGAATTCACTGCTCAAGTAATTGTTCTGAACCATCCTGGGCAAATATCTAATGGATACACTCCTGTTTTGGATTGCCACACTGCTCACATTGCTTGCAAGTTTAGGGAAATCAAGGAGAAATGTGATCGCCGTACTGGTAAAAAACTTGAAGGTATGTTGATTTCATAATTCACTTTTGAAACACTGCATACTTTTCTATCTTGATGACATAGTGCATTCTATGGTAAATTCTAAGGGTTAGGTGGATACTAATAGTTTCTAAAGAGTTTGTTTAGATACATTTTATGCAGAGGTTGGTCTGGTTATAATGATTCGGTCTGGTCATAATGATTCCTGTTGTATTTTTTTGACATGAGTTATGTTAAAAAGGAATAGTTAATATCAGAATAGCTGCATCTGGTGTGAAATTTGCAATTTAATTCGTTAATTTAAAATGCTTTATTAAATTAAAGAATTTGAGTATGTATTGGTAAAAGTATTCACTGCTAATGTGCTTGTAGTTTCAGAAGATGTTCGTTGGAAGTGCAATTTTTCAAAATTACCTTGTTTTGTTTTGAGAATTTATTTTTATGGTTGGATGAGATGCTTTTACATGCAAAATTGTGGTATTTTAAATTAGTCCAGAAAACAAATTACATAAGCTTTTCTTTTTAGATAATCCCAAATTTATCAAATCTGGAGATGCTGCTATTGTTGATTTAGTTCCCAGCAAACCAATGTGTGTGGAAACATTCACCGACTTCCCTCCATTGGGTCGGTTTGCTGTTCGTGACATGAGACAAACTGTGGCTGTTGGTGTCATTAAAGCTGTCAAACCTAAAGAAGCTTCTGGAGGCAAGGTCACCAAAGCTGCTGAAAAAGCTCAAAAGAAGAAATAACTATCCGTGGGTGGCACGACAGATGGTATGCTGCCACAACCACGATATGGACTTTATAATTCTAAGTATGACATTCTGTCTATAACATATGATTGCTGTAAAATTAAATGTAATGTTAAGTTGCCTTTTCAGTTAATATTAAATGGAAGCATTATGTCACGTGTCATATTACTATTTTTGAGCCCTTGGTTGCTTTGTCATATGTGTCATCGTAAAGAATTCAGAAGGAAAAAGCTGTAATATGTTAATAAGATCTTAATGTATTACTGTTGAAGGTATAATAAATGTTTAAAACTATCTTGTGTTTTTTGTTTTCTGACTATCATTTAGTGACTTTTAAACTGTTTTTAGGCAGTGAATAAATTTTATGCGTCCATACTTTTCTTGTTATGTAATGATTGTAAGAGGATTTAAAGAATTTTCCTTCATAAAAGGGCATCTCACTTTTAAGGAAAGTAATTTGGTTTGTATGTACCTTACTGGTATGACATTCTGGAAGCAATAATGTTTACATTAAATATCAGTACATTTGGCGATATAAGTAACAGCCTTCGAATCAATGTAACGTGGCCCAGAAATACATTTATTTGCTGCAATTATTTAAAGTTCCGAGTTTAACATTTCACATTCAGCACAACATCTTTAAGCAGCCAAGTGGGCCAGCTTCCAATCTTAGAATGGCTGGTTAAATTGGAATTTGCCTTTCACCATTGGAAATGGCTTTTAGAAATTTGATTCCCATAACTCATCTTAAGTAGTAGACAAGGGATATGAAAATAAACCTCTTCAAACTTAAGATATTTTATAAATTTGTGTTACTTATATATATTTATACATTTTGAAAAGCCCTTGTATGGACTAATAGAATTGACTATTCGTCTAATAGAATTGACGAACGGCGCTGCCTAAGCATCTGTGAATTTAACGGCGTATCTAAATTTCTGCAAGCGGTGGTTCAGTTATACTGTAGTGGCCTAGTTATTGCGTGAGAAATTTTTATTTCACATATTTTATTTCGTTAATCAAATTTATATTTCTTTTCGGCCGAGCGGTAAAGTCTGAACACTGGTAGTTCGGTCCGAATCCCACGAATGGGCTGGCTGCATGAGTGTTTTCGTGGTTTTCTTCATGTGTAACGTGTATATGAGCCAGTTTCCCTTAGAAAGTCCTCCACGAAGGCATCCCTCCTCTTAGGCAGATAGCCCTCGAGGCTTTGCCGTAATTAACCTAACCTATACTTCTTTTATGCTAAATGGCAAATAGTTGATTCATTTTGCTTGGTTTCAAAACATTGCTATTCTAGTAGCCTCACATTTTGATAGCTGTAAAATAAAAAGCAGTAAACTTAGCCATTTGTTAATAATTCATGCTGTTCCTAATCATAAATTAATTTTAAACATTAGCCGAGGGCACATCGTGGTAATACTGATTAATTTTTGAAATGTCAACAAATGAATTCTAAAACTGCTATGAAAAATATGTAGTCACTGGAGCTTCATAAGGTGTGTGTAAAAATACCTCCTTTTTGGACTGATAAACTAGAAATATGGTTTTTTCAAGTTGAAGCTCAGTTCAGAATTAGTAATATAATTTCAGAAGAAAACAAAATTTAATTATTCAGTTTCACAGCTTGAACCTAAGTTCGTCAAAAATATTTGGGAAATTGTAACGAATGATAGTGCTTTAAAATATTCTGATCCTAAAATTAGATTATTACATTTATTCAAAGAAAGTGAAAATGTACAGGTTAAATGTTTGATTACTGGTATCGAGCTTGGAGACATGAAACCAAGCCAACTTTTGCAGAAATTGAGATCAGCTGCTACTATAGATGTGTGTGAAATTAATCAAAACATTGTGGGTGGAGAAGCTACCTGACTCGATAAAAAGTATATTATTAGTGATGAAGATGTAGCCAAAGACGTAGGGACTTTATGTAATTCACAACCTCGTAAATGTTATGACCCTGCTGGCAAATTTTGTTTCTACCACTTTCGATTTGGAGCAAAATTCATTCTAGAGAAATGCAAGCCTCCGTGTGCTTGGGGTAAAAAACAATTCCAAAAACCAGGAAAACTTGAATCTGCAGTAGGTTGAGCAGCAAACACTTCTGCAGAAAATATGAAAGATTATTGCAAATTTCGTTTGAGGGCCCACCGCGGCCGAGCGTTAAAGTCGCTGAACACTGGGAGTTCGTCCGAGGTTCGAATCCCGCGAACGGGCTGGCTACATGCGTTTCGTGGTTTTCCCCATGTAATATACGGAGTTCCCTGAAAGTCCTAAGCATTTCTTACAATAGACTCGACTTCATAATCAATAATAAAAATGTAAAGGTCAAAACTGATATGCTGGTGTAAACTAATGGCACAGATATTTCCACTTACGGCATAAAAACGCTAACTCTTGATTTGGGATTACATTGTGATTTTCAGTTTCCATTCATAATTGCTGATGTCACAAAAGGTATTTTAAAAGCTGACCTTCACAAATTTTCGATTTACTGTCGAAATATCCCGAAATTTCTAAGCCTAACCTTTTTCTACACAATTTAAACATGGTGTTACACATTTTATTACAACTGTTGGTCAACCCGTTTATTCAAAGGTATGACAGCTCGATCCAAAACGCTTAGCTAAAGAGGAATTTAAATTTATGCTTCGCAATGGAATAATTTGTCCATCAAACACCCAGTGGTCAAGCACCTTGCACCTTCTTACGAAAAAGGATGGTTCATATCGTCCTTGCGGAGACTACCGACGATTGAATGCGCAGACGATACCTGATCGATACCCAATTCCTCGCATTGAAGGTTTTCATGTTTTATGAGGTACAAAATATTTTTTCTAAAATTGATTTACTCTAAGCATATTTTTAAATTCCCATTGCAGAAGACAAAATGTAAAATGGCTGTCATCACTCCTTTTGGCTTATACGAATTTAATGAGTTTTGGTTTAAAAAGTGCTCCTGCAATGTTCTAACGATTTATTCACGAAGTCTTTAGAGGATTAGAATTCATTTTTCCCTATTTAGACTATTTGCATCCAGTACCTATGAAGAACATGAAAATCTCCTTAGTTTTCGAAAGATTAATACATTTGAGTAAGAATTAATACTATTTCTCAAATTTACAAATTTCACAGGACTAGTTTCGATGGTTTTACCGAACCATCATCTTCAGCTGCAAAACCGAAAATGAACAAGATAGGAAATAATGTTTAAATAAGATAAGAAAGCCTGGACAAGAATAAGCAAGTGGTGCCATCTGTTGGCAAAACCAGAACTAAAACATAATTTCTTTAAAGGCCGAAGGCAAATTTGGATTGGAATTAGGATCGTTAACTAGAACAGAAAGATTTTTATGAATGTGAAATGCCTCTAGAAAATCCAGTTCTCCAATGGAAGATGTTTTTTGAATAATTTTGGCAGCAGAAAAATTGAAAGTGTGATTTTCGGACCAACAATGTTGAGCAACAGAAGACTTCTGTGTTTCCTTTTTTCTAACATATGCCTCATGTTCTTTGACGCGAAATTTTAAGGCTCTCTTAGTTTGGCCAATGTAAATTAAAAAAACGACTGGCAAGGAATCCTATAAATACCCCAGGAATTCATATCCGGTATGGGGTCCTTGAGTATAGAAGTTGGAATTTTATTGATGGGAGAGTAAACAACCCGAAAGTTAAATTTCTGCAAAATATGTGCAACTTTATAGCTAATTGATGGAAAGAAGGGAATGACAACAGAATTTTTATAATCTCCTAAAATAAGAGTGTGGCTTTTGGTGTGTTGAGATGAGAATTTTTTAACTGCTTGATTAATAATGTTCGGTGAAAAGCCCCTGTCAATAGCTATTGCTTTTAAATAATTTAGTTCTTCATCAAGGGCCAGTTTGGAGGAGCAAACTTGAAGAGCACGGAAAACATAGGAATAAAATGAAGCTAACTTTTGTTTAGTCGGATGACATGATTTAAAGTGTGGTGGAAGGCAAACCGATGAAGGTTTACGGTAAACTGTAGTACTGAAGTTGGATGTGTTACGTGTGACCAGAATGTCGAGAAACGGAAGAGAATTGCAAGTCTCAAGTTCAAAAGTGAACTGAATAGCAGGATCAATAGAATTCATTGTTGAAAGAACTCTATTTAAATCATCTTTATTACTCAAACAGTGCAGCCGACCGGTGACCGGCACGTTGGGTTCCCAGATTAATGTTTCAAAATCTGTCTTTGCTGTTCCCCAAATCGAGTTTCTAGGCTACCTAATTACACCTAAGGGTTCCCGTCCTTTGCCAGAAAGAGTTCAAGCTATTACTAACTACAAACGACCAGAAACAATTCATGAACTTAGAACCTTTTCTTGGAATACTTAACTTTTATCGTCGTTATATAAAGGATGCAGCGAAGAAATCAAGCATTGTTACATGCGTATCTCAAGGGAGCTAAAAAGAGGGACAAACGTAAAATCGAATGGACTGAAGAAGCTGAAAAACAGTTTGAAACAAGAATGACCTGGTGAACACGGCACTGTTGTCTTTTCCCAATTCTGAATTACCTCTGGCGTTATTTACAGATGCTTCAGATACGGCGATTGGCTCAGTGTTGCAACAATATGAAAACTCCTCGTGGAAGCCAATAGCATTTTTTTCTAAAAAATTAAGTGATACTCAGCAAAAATATAGCACCTATGATAGAGAACTATTAAGCATATATCTTTCAGTTAGACACTTTAAGCATTATCTAGAAGGAAGAGTATTTACAATTTATACAGATCACAAGCCCTTAATATTCGCCTTTCGTCAAAAACTTGACAAAGCAACACCTAGACATGCTCGCCAACTTCAATACATCTCCCAGGTTTCGACTGATATCAAATATTTAAAAGGTGAGAATAATATTGTGGCGGATACGTTATCTAGAGTTAATGAAATTTCATCGATAGATTATGATAAAATAGCTGATGAACAAACTCAAGATGAAGAACTGAAGAGTTTGCAAACCACTACTTCCTTGAATTTCAAGCAATGTTCTCTACCATCGGGGAAATATTTGTGGTGTGATACATCAACTAAACATGTTCGGCCGTATATTCCTCAGGCTTTCAGAAAACACGTCTTTCAAAGAATTCATGGTTTATCACATCCAGGAATAAAATCGACTATGAAATTAATGACATCAAAATTCATTTGGCCTAACATAAAAAAAGATGTACAGTTGTGGACAAGAACCTGCATTCATTGCCAAAAAGCTAAAATCAATCGGCACACCAAAACAAAATTAGGTGAGTTTGAAGTATCACCAGGAAG